CCTCTTTATACCATAAAACAAATAGATCGGCTCCTTCAAAATTCAGATGCATGGCTAATCGCTTGTGCCAGTTTTTCAGGTACCATAGACAATCATTACCCGCCTGACAGGCTCCTCCAGTTTTGTAAATTACATGCCTTAGCTTTCCCTCGCCTTACTAGCCTAAAGCCTCTACCTGATGCCTTGTTAGTTTATATGGATGGCTCCTCCTCTGGGATGGCTGCCTTTACCCTTAAGAAGCAGACAACCCACTTCCAAACTAATCTTGCCTCTGCACAATTAGTGGAACTTTCAGCTTTAATAGCTGTTTTCACTATTTTTCCCACAAAACCCCTCACCATATATACCGACATTGCCTACCTCCCCCACTCTATTCCCCTTCTTGAAACTGTTCCCTTTATCAAACAGGCCTCTGAAGCCGCCAATCTTTTTCAACAGTGCCAACAACTTATTCATGAGAGAACAGTCCCTTTCTTCCTTGGTCATATTCGAGGTCATTCTGGCCTACCCGACCCTCTTTCCACTGGCAATGAACTAGCTGATGCAGCCACCAAGATAATTGCGGTTGCCACTGTCCCCACCATCACTCAAGCTCAGCAAGCTCATGCCTTACACCATTTAAATGCCACTTCTTTAAGGCTTTTGTTTAAAATTACTAGAGAACAAGCCAGACAAATAGTTAAAAATTGTGGGACCTGTGTAACCTTCCTTCCAGTTCCCCACCTAGGAGTTAATCCTCGGGGACTAACACCCAATATGCTCTGGCAAATGGATGTCTCCCACCTTCCTGAGTTTGGTACATTGCAATATGTTCATGTTTGGCATCGATACCTTTAGTTGTTTATTTTGTGCTATCCTTCAGTTTGGAGAAGCTACTAAACATGTCATTGCTCATCTTCTGCACTGCTTCTCTATCTTAGGAACACCCTCCTATCTAAAAACAGATAATGGCCCTGGCTACATTTCCCAGGCCTTTAAAAATTTCTGCTCCACCCTACAAGTGCAACATTCTAATTCTACTGGTATCCCGTACAATCCTCAAGGACAAGGAATAGTTGAGCGAGCTCACCTATCCTTAAAAAACACCCTTCAAAAAATTAAAAAGGGGGAGTGGTATCCCATGAAGGGCCGCCCAAGAAACCTGTTAAATCATGCACTCTATGTTTTAAACTTCCTCACCCTGGACTCAGATGGCATCCTGAATCGAAAAAGCAATATGCCATGGTAAAATGGAAAGATCCCTTAGACAATTCCTGGCATGGCCCAGACCCAGTTTTAATCTGGGGAAGAGGATCCATCTGCATTTTTTCACAACAACATGACGCTGCTAGATGGCTCCCAGAGAGACTGGTAAGACAGGTTAATGAAAATTCTTCCAGGGAGGATGAGACCCCTTGAGAAAGGAAAATTTCTTTTCTTAACCCCACAGGCAAAGGACACATGAATCGCATTGGATGGAAACTGTTGGCTGCTATCATCGCCTTCACATTCATCGTCATCTGTGCCTTCATTCTTGCGCTGATCTGCCTCAAAGTCATCAGAGAACTACAGTTCAATTCAACAAAATGTGGTCGGTGCTAACTTTCCTCACATGCCTTTCCCCAGTCATGGCCCTATGAACCCTATCCAACACTCACACTACCTGGAATTATACGTGGCTGGTTCTTAATGGGCGTGGTGACCCCATATGGGCCAATTCCACCCTTATCAATGAGCAGCCCTGGCCCACCTTATACCCAGATCTTTGCCAGATCGCTCTGGGCACCCCTCCCAACTGGGATGTAGAGGGCTATGAAGCCTACATAGGTGCCAAGCCACCTACTAAACCAGTCCCCTATATAGGCATAGATACCACTGTGGTGGCATGGACTGGGTGCGGCAATGCAGATCGTCGATCCAGACTTCGAGTCTTAGAATTCTATGTCTGCCCTGGCTTTCATCGAGCCACCCACCTCAACCCCTCTTGTGGGGGGAGTGATCAGTTCTTCTGCAAAAGCTGGGGATGTGAAACCACAGGAGATGCCTGGTGGAATCCCTCCTCATCCTGGGATTACATAACAGTCAAATACAATTTCTCTAGGCCCACTGCTCGCAATGCTATAAAAGACTATAGTAAAGACTGCCAAAATAAATGGTGTAACACCTTAAACATTTCCTTCATGGAAAAAGGCAGACAGGCCACCAAATGGACTCAAGGATATTCTTGGGGCATAAGGCTCTATAAAAATGATCATGATGATGGCCTCGTGTTTAAGATCAAACTCTTAAAAGAGCCCCTCAATCAGTACAAGCCTGTTCAGATTGGCCCTAACCCCATTTTAGTGAATAAACACCAACCAGCCCTGACACCAGCCCCTGTAGTTCCTAATCATAACACCATTAAGGCTGACAGTCAAAACCTTAGGAACTCCCACTCTGGCCATAGCTCCACTACCCCACACAATGTTCCCCTCCTTCAGCCCATAACAGGAGACCCTCTGCCCCTGGGTGATCTTCATCATACCAAAAACATTATCTTGCAACTCCTTAATGCCACTTATCAGGCCACCAGAAGTGCCGGTCAAGACCTGGGAGATTGCTGGCTATGTTATAATTCCCAGCCCCCATTCTATGAAGGGGTGGTGATCCCTTTGCCCAACAATTCCCTTGGCTACTCAGACTCCCCTTCCTCTTGTTCATGGCCAGATTAACACCGGAGCGGCCTGACTCTATCACGGATAGTGGGTCGGGGAACCTGCCTTGCGCCCACTGGCCAACCTCCAGCCATCTATTGCCCCTACTGCAATGCCACCACTGCCCCCAATAAAGATTCCCAGTTAATTCAAGCCCCTTCCAATACGTGGTGGATTTGTAAGGATGGTCTCACTCCATGTGTATACGTGCAGTCCTTTTATAACAAAGATGATTTTTGTCTCCTAGTACAACTCCTCCCTCGTCTCTCCTACCATAGCCCTCAGGCATTCCTCGGGCTATGGGAAGCCCCTGACAGCCACTCTCGATCCCGAAGGGAGCCTGTCTCTGCCCTCACCATCTCAGTCCTTCTAGGCTTGGGCGTCGCAGGCACAGGAACTGGTGTTGCTTCCTTACTCATAGGAAGCTCCAGGCTTGATGCCCTGCAAGCCACCATTGACAAAGACCTCCATCGCTTGCAGGCTGGCATCAATGACCTGGCAGATTCACTTTCCTCCCTGGCCGAGGTGGTCCTTCAGAACCGGTGTGGACTAGACCTCCTATTCCTACAGCAAGGAGGACTTTGTGCAGCTCTTAAAGAAGAATGCTGTTTTTACCTAGATAAGACTGGTACTGTAAAAGATAGCATGAAGATCTTGAGGGAGGGGCTGGAGTGGCGCAAAAGGGAAAGGGATCAACAGGATAGTTGGTATAAAAATTGGTTTTCCACATCACCTTGGGTTTCAACCCTCTTGCCCACCATATTGGGGCCCCTCCTAGCCACCCTGGCTGTAAATATCCTTTGGCCCCTGGGCCTTCAAAAGGATCACAACCTTCATTAAGAGTCAGATTAATGATCTGGCAGCTAAACCTATTCAAGTGCATTATCACAGGCTGGAGCTTGAGGATCGAGACGACCCCTTTGAGCCCACCAGGCCTTATGACAACGTGATGAGTCATCCCCTTGAGAGCTGAACCGGTCAGCCAAAGACAGGTAAGAGAGACTTTTACTGATAAACAACCTAAGACAGGCAGGCAGCCGACGCAGCTGCCCTAGCCCATGACGGGTGAGCATCAGATAAAAGTTCTCCAACCTAAGACAGGCACAGTTCCCTAAGGGATCATTCGGCCTTGGCCCCATGCTCTTGTTTATAATAAAAAAGGGGGACTTGTAGGGAGCCGTGGGCTCCCTATCCAGAAATAGTAACTATTGTCTGTGAAGCAAGCTGTTTACAGCTTCAGCCTCTGACTTCCTTTTAAGAGTACGGTCTGGCTGTGGAAGGTACGGTAAACAGCGGAAATTACCCGCCCAGCTTCTTCCGCCCTCTGCTTCCCTATAAAAGCTTTGTACAAACGTTCAATAAAGAGAAGAGACTTGAAAGTGGAGTGAACCTCATCTTGGCGTCCGTGTTGTCCTTTCCTCAGCTCTGCTGGTCAGAGTCGTGGCTTGTGGCAACCACTCCTTGGCATATACCCAAAGAATTCATCCTATTGCAGAGACACATATACATCCACACTCCAGGTACCCGTTGGAAGTCCTGAGGGCCGGGACAGATTATGGGGCTTCACAGTGGGCTGCATGTTTCTTTTAATATTTCCAAATAAACTATTTATGTATGCACACTGCTCTCCATAAATATGACACCAAAACAACATGTGTAGACTGACAGACTTAAGAACTGGCACATGTGATTGTGGAGGCTGAGTAGGCTACACTCTGCAGAATAGGCTAGAGACACAGAAAGGGGGCTGCACTTCAAATCATAAAATGACACAATCTCTTTGAGGAAAATTAGTCTCTTTCTTAAGGCATTTGGATAACTGCATAATCCTTACCACAGTATGGAGGACACTTTGCTTTACTGAAAACATGTTTTTAAAAATGTTAATCTCATTAAAAATATATTCACAGAAACACCTCTAAAATCTTATCAAATATCTGGGGTTTATAACCTAGCGAAGATCATATATAAAATTAGCCACAATACCAAACTAAAAAGGAGCTTTACATTGATTCTGCCTTGATAACTGATAGACTTTTGTAAGTTATTGAGAGATTTGTTCTCCATATGTGAGGAACACAGACTTGAGGGTACTCAAATTCTCTACCAAACAAAATAGAATTTTTCGTACACCCTTTCCCCTGTTGGAACATGTTCGCTTCCCCCTGATCAAGTCTTTTACTCATTTGAAAGCTCTTCAAGAGCTGGTTATCCTTTTAACTTTCCACCTTTCACAGACATGGACTATTAAGTCCACACAGGCAAAATTAACCTCTACTTTCTCTTCATCAATACATGCTGTTTCACTAAATTTTCCCCTTCCTGCTCTCTGTTTGACCTGCCCTTACTCAGGGTCTTGTGGTCCTGATATGGATCGACAAAATCGGCATAAAACATTTTTATCTTGGGTTTGCATGGTTTATATGACCCTTGGGAGGGAGTGACTTACACAGAGAAGGCTTGCCATTAGAACCTTGCCGCAGTTTCCTTCGGCTCTCGCCCACTGAAGTGTCCCATCGCATCTCCATACCCCTGCTGCTGTTCACCCTGGAGGTCCCATGCTTTTCTTTTTCTGTTCGAATCTGGCTGCCATTAACTCTCCATCTGGCCACTCTCCTTATCCTGTTGGCTAGGCTCCACTCCTCTTTCCCAGTGCCCATTCACAGCTGTCCTTAGCCCTGCCCCTTAATGCACTGGACTCCTCCTGCAAAGCCTGGGAAGGAGGTGGATCCAGGGCTTATCAGAGGAACATCAGAGTAACACATGCTTTTCTGGCTTCATCTGCATACACTGCAACCTTTCTACTTTTCTGGATCTTTTCTCGGCATTCTACTGATACCCTTTCATCTTATGATCTTCCTGATGAATTGTTTATGATTCTATAATAATTTGATCTTATATTTCCCCAAGGTTTAGTAGTAAAGGGTTCTGTAAATTCATTTATATTCAGAGGGCAAAAACATCATCTTTGTAATAAACACTAATTTTGTTGCTGTTGGAACATGTCTTCTTATGTAAACCATATTATCCTCGAACTTGTGATTTTCCTGCCTCAGCTAGAATTGTAGCTACATATGACTACTGACTTTTTAATATATATTTATTTTATTTGCCTTATATTTTAGATACCTTTCAATAGTTATGGTTTTTTTTTGTTTGTTTGTTTGCTCTTTTGAGAAAGTGTCTCCCTATAGCCCCAGCTGTCCTGGAACTCACCCTGTAGACCAGACTGGACTTGAATTCACAGAGATCCAACAGCCTCTGCCTTCTGAGTGTTGAGATTAAAGGTATGTGCCACCATGCCTGGCATAAGTCATAAACTTTTACAGAAATTTTAAGACATTTTGGTTTATCAAGTATGCTAGTCATTGAACACTCTTACTATTTTCTTTTAACTTGCTTATGTTTTGTTAAGTGCCTTTTAACATTAAGTCCTCAAATATAATAAAAGCTAATGTATTATTACATAATCTTGAAATTCCCTGACATTATTACTAAGGGTTTTCTTGGCTTTAAAATATATAGTAAACAAAATAAAATAGCCCAAAGTTTTAGATATCTTGTGCTTCTTTTAACTTACATTTTAATCTTGAAGAATATATGTCATAATTGGCAAGTATTTCCAAATCCATTTTCGTAATTTAGACCTGAATGTCCTTCTGAGGTTCATGGGTTAAACTCCTGGTTACCATCCCAATGGCATGGTTGGAGGTATTAAAACCTTGAGGAGATGGGCTAAGGTCATTAGGGGTATGCCCTTCAAGGAGAGAGCTAAGAATGTTCCTACCCCTTCCTCTCTCTTTTCTTACTAGCTTCTACGGGATGAGCAGTTTCCTCCACCACTACCCCACCACAATATTCTGTCTTGCCACATACCCCAAGGCAACCTTGCCGAAGGAATACCACTAAAAAATCCTAAAACTGTGAGCTGAAAATTACCCTTTTCTCCTTTAAGTTGATTTCCCTCAGGTATTTTCTCATAGGGGTGAAAAACAGAGTACGATACTTATCTAAAATACTGTATTTTTTTCTCACTCAACATGTTAATTTGCTAAGTGAAGAGTTCAGTCATTAAATTAGTATCATCTGTAATTAAGAACTAATAGGGGCTTACAGTATTGTTCATTTATAAAGCTCCATCTTCTAATGCCATCTATTTTTGATTTTTCTTGGCATGTTACAGTATCCTTCACAAGACATACATTATTTTTAAAGTATTCATGGCTATCATGTTAGGTACCAGTTCTGTTACAAAATGTTTAAGTGTGTATTTTGTATATTTGAAGAATAATTCTTCCAGTGACACATATCATAAAAATTAATAACAGTACCCTCATTGATCTAAAACAGAATAATTGTCATGATAATAATTGAGCAAAATCATAAATGAAACAAACACCAAGGAGATGAGAAATTTATGTAGAGAACAGTTAATTGGGACTTGTTCATATCAGGGAATTTCTGTAGACACCTGCCTTTGAAAATTCAAGACTAGAATAATGGGTGTGAAAATTTAAATAATTGCATTCCTATACCTACTGAAGCATAAGAAGAATCCTCAGAGAAATAAAGACAGACTTCTTTCTCCAAATGTTATTTTCTTTTTCTACTGATTGACTATTGAGAGCCATGAATACCCCTGAAAAAGAATGCTGGAAACATCTATGTATGTAAATGTGAATGAGAGAACTTGTACTCAACAGATGATTAATGAAATGACCAAATAAAATGTGTGCACGTGGGTGTATAAGTTGCTCCCATGATATTCTAAATCAGTAAATCATGATACAGTTGAGGTATAAATTATAACATGTTGCACTTACAATCCTTGTTTGGGGACATAATATATTGACACACAAATCAATAATGTGCATATGTAGTACAATTCAAATGTTTAGGAATAAAAAAGCTACAGATGAGAAAAAATGGGCAGTTGAATTTATAAAATCTTAAGACAGACTGAAATCTAAATATTGTTAATCTTTCTAATGAGTTACTATGCAAGTTAATGCAAATTTAGTGAACTGAATTACATAATTTATAATTATACAAAGTTAGAAACATAGAACATATAAATTAATGGGCATCCATCATGGACATATAGGCACAAGTAACCAAAATAAGTTAATTTTCATAAAGAAAGATAAATTAGTAAAAGAGGACAAAATTTAGAGAGATGTGAATGAAAAGGCCAGCATTATTCATGGCCCTTTAGTTCATAAGTGAATCCTACCTATCTTTCTACAAGATTCAGTATGCCCCTATTACTATAACACAAGATTCAGCTCAATATTGACTTGCTGTGAAGAAAAATTTCTGGTTTTCTTTTTGAAATGTAAAGTTTAAATACAACTCTTATGATCGTTTTTTTTTAAATAAACTTTTAATGAGAGTACTGTTACAAGACTGAAAAGGAGATACTTTACAAAGAAATTATTTTGTTCGATTTTGCACATTGTTATAATTTACAAATTGAAAAGCTTTTGTTTTGCAATTCCAATATAAACACCATTTAAAGTATTTCAATGTAGCATCTGACTTTAATGCATTAACATTCTTTATGTGTAATGAAAGTATTATGAAATAGCTTAAAATACAATAAAAACTTCAAAATTAGTGACATCAATTTGGTCTACAGGTTTCAGTTTATATTTGCAATGTCTTTTGTCTTAAGCATTTCTTCCATGCTTTCAATAAATTTGGAATATTCATGAAGCTCTGAAATAAGACTACTTCTGCCATTTTAAAATCTAAGTATCTT